GATTGGCTGGAGAGGGCCGGGCACACCTAACTTGGCTCTGGCTGCAGGAGGCACCCAACAGTAGTTTTCCTCAGAGAGGGGGTAAAGCTTGTTTGCGGCGAGTCATGGCGGGTATGAAGGTGGAAATAACCCACCTTCAGACCACGCGCAAGGTATGTGAGTGGGTGCGGGGGTGGGGAGAGAGAGGAAGGCGGAGGGAAGAAGATCGTGGACGAGGAGGGGAGGAGGTTGTTTCGTTGCTGTGGTACGCGTGCTTGACCAGAGAGCGACAAGCGGTGAGCAGACAGTTTAAGAGGGGGAAGACTCACAGACTATGCTGCTTGGGTGAATGTGTGTAGGTTTTCACGCGTTGGATGAACTACCACTTGCGGTCGTCGTCTGTAGCGGTGGAGGACTGCGTCAAGGGCTTGCGAACCGGTGTGCGGTTGGCGCAGCTGCTGGACAGTCTCACGGGCTCGTCGCTCGTGTCGTCCAAGAAGTTCCAGTCGGGCTCAATGGAGTCACTCGACCGGGCGACGCGGATCCGCAACGTGCACTTGTGTCTGATGTATCTCGGTTCGACCTCGCTCTCGCTGACGGCGATCGACGCCGAGGCGTTTGTGGATGGCAAGACGGCGACGGTGCTGCAGTTCATCTGGACGCTCATTGTGCAGTACGAGGTGCTGCCGATCACAGGCAGCTCGTCTATCAAGTCTGTCTCGCACGTCTGCCAAACACTGGTGCGCAAGGTCAACGACGCGCTGCCAGGCTACAACGTGCTCATCTCGATCGAGTCACTCCCGCATGACTTTAAGTCCGGTCTGGTTATGGCTGCACTCTTCCACATCAAGGACTTTCGGCTGGTGGACTTTTTCGGGCTGGTGCGAAGGCGGGCGACCCAGGCAGAGGTCTTTGAGGCCGTCATTCCGCTGCTAGAGCTGCTGGACGTCCCGATGTTTCTCGACACGGCCGACTTTGAGACGCTTGACGACTCGTTGTTTGTCACCTTTTTCTGTGCCTTCTGGAAAGCGTACAAGCAGTTTGAGCCAAGTGCAGCCGCAAGCGGGTCCGACGCAGCCGCGGGTCTCCGCGACAAGCTGACGGCAGCATACGCCAAGAAAGCCGAGCTGGAGGCCGAGCTGGCCAACGCGCGGGCGCACATTGCCTCGCTCACCGAACAGCTCTCCGAGACGCTGGCAAGTTCGGCCAAGACGGCTTCGGCCAAGGACGAGCAGGTCAAGCTGGCGCGGCAGGATGTGCGCCAGCTGGAGATGGTGGTGATGGACCTCAAGGTCGAACTTAACGCCGCGGTGGAGCGTGCCGACGCAACAGCCAAGGCGCTGAGCGACACTCTGCTGCTCGAGCGCCAGCGCGCGGCAGCGGCGACGAAGCAGGAGGTCGACGCCCCGAGCGGCCATGTGTTCCTGGCGTATGTCGACATCGAGGGCGGCATGGCGCTATGGGAGCAGGCACCCGATGTCATGTCGGACGCGCTCTTGCTATACCATGACCACGTCGAGACTGCGGCGCGGGTCCAGCACGGGTACATGGTGCGTACCGAGGGCGACGCGATGCTCCTTGCGTTTTCGACGGGCTCACAGGCAGTGACCTTTGCGCTCATGCTCCAGCTCGCGCTCCTCGACGCCAACTGGGACGAACAGCTGTTGCGGCTGCCGCAGGCGAGCGTGGAGACCGGGCTGGGCACCGAGGTCCTCTTCTCTGGCCTCCGAGTTGCGATTGCCATTCACGCCGGCACGCCAATGCGGTCGATCGACAAGGCTACCAAGCGAGTTGACTATCTCGGGCCGGAGCCTGCGCTTGCGCAGCTGCTGGCCTCCAAGGCGCACGGTGGACAGATTCTCGTGTCGGACACTGCGTTCGAGGGCATCGAGCCGCGCCTGTTTGAGATCCGGCCGACGCCGCTGGTCACTCCGCTGGGGGTCATCTCGCTGGCATCTGTCGAGCGCATTGTCTCGCTGACGCAACTGCTACCGGAACGCGTGGCGGACCGGCGGTTCCGTGGCTTCCGCACCTTGGCGGCTGACGAAGGAACCGGCGCTGGGGCCGGCGAGGCCGATGCGGCGTCGGTGACCGAGCGCAAGATGATGCTGCTGACCGAGCGCAACTCGACCTTTTCATCCAAGCTCAAGTCGCTCTCATCCGAGGTGGAGACTGCGTCGTCTGCGGCGCGTAAGCTTGCCAAGACGCTGTCGCGGATGCAGTACTCGACGTCGTCGAGCGGCGTCAACTCGGTCATCCGAGACTTTATGGATGAGCTCGAGTCGGTAACCATGACTCAGCGGACACTCAACGAGCGGCTGGCCAAGACCTGCATCGAGAACGAGCAGTTTAGCGAGCACCTCTCGGCCATTGAGAGCGCGTTTGAGGACGAGATGGCGTCTGCGCGACGGTCGCTGAAAGACCGCGAGCGGGACCTCAACATCATCAAGCAGCAGCAGCTCGAGTCAACTTCGCTCACTGTGCGCGGGCCGGGCTCGTCAGCCATGACCTCGCGCATTGCAGCGCTTTCAGACCTGCACGAGTCATACAAACGCAAGGCGCGGGCGACCGAGGTGCGCCTGCGGCAAGAACTCCGCTCGTCCAAATCCGTCATCAAGGAACTGAAGAAGGAGATCAAGGTCCTGACCTTCAAGGTCAACAATGCCATCCAGCCAGAACTCGAGGAGCTGGTATCGCTCGACTCGATCCTGGCCGACGACGACCTACCGCCTGGCGCATTTGCCAAACGCCCACCGCGTGGGCCGGCCAGAAGCCGGCTGCCGACACGACGGACCTCGTCGCGGCTCTCGGCGGCACTCTCGGATCAGGAAACCACGTCAGTGGCGGCGAAAACCCCCCAGCGTGAGAGTGCGAGCTCACGGGCAAGCTCACGGACAAGCTCGCGCCAAGGCTCGGCTGAGAGCGTCGAGTCTGGGTGCGAGGATGACAGCGTGTTGCAGCATTCGTACTCGATGCGTCTCTTTCCGGTCTTGCCGCGGGTTGACAGCGACCGTACGCGCTCGCCGTCGTGCTCACCGTCAGCGTCGCCACCTGCTCGGAACTCCAGCAGGCGGCTGATGCGGTCGCAGTCGATGCGGGCGACAACCGGTCTGAGTAAGGGATCTCGCGGACGGCGGTCCCCTTCGACCGGAAAGAGCCAGCGCAGCGGCAAGTTGCGGCACTCGGCTAACTCACCAGGACAGGATTTCCCTCCGTCGCAGTCGCGGTCTGGCTCACGCGGGCGGACCAGGTCGTCGCGATCGTCGTCACGGTCAAAGAGCAAGGCGTCGACACTGTCGTCCGTGCCTCGAAGTGCCATTCCTAAGCTTCCAAGCCTCGTCGAAGATACTGACCACCTGGCAAACTCGTGGACGCCGACGAGACGGCCAGCGTCGTCAGACTCGTCCCAGCGTTCGCTGTCCGCATCATGGTCCGAGCACGAGTCTGCAACGTCGTCTCGCGCGCTCCCGCTCGCGCGCGACATCCGCGAGCTTGTCCGCGAACTGCGCGGCGAGGCGCTCAATGCTTTGCACAAGGCGCACAAGAACCCGCCGTCGAAGAGTGAGCACAAGGAGGCGATTGCGTCGTCTGTCAACAGGATCTTGGGCCTTGCGTTTTCGCCGACGCACGCGCCGTTCCCGATCCTGCGCTGCGTCGAGCTTGTGACCCACGGCCTGATCAAGGTGTACAGCGGAGTGGATCTGCTGTACGCCTTCAAGCTGCTGGTGGGCGAGCTCGTCAACTCGAACCGGCTCTCGGACGAGAGCATCGACTTTGTGGTCAATGAGATCGGGACGAGCCGAGGCATCTTTGCCAAGCCCGAGTGGAAGGCTAAGTTTGACTCGTACCTCGCCGGCCTCCGCAAGATGTCGCGAAAGACCAGGAAGCGAGACCGTCAGCTGCGGCATCGTCGGTCTTCCACCGATATGCAGCCACTGCCGAGGCATCGTTCAGAGCTGGACCGCTTTGGCAGCGTTGGCAGCCTGGCAGTCTTCCCGTCGAGCACTCTCGAATCGGCCACAAGCCTCACCCTCACTAGCAGCTCGTCGCCATGGTCGGGCACCTTTGGCAACGAGTCGAGCGATCTGCTGCCGTACGAGGCGAAGCAGGCCGACGACGATGAGTTTGCCAGCTCGTCGGGGACGGGCGATGCAGACCAGTATGGGTACTCGAGTGACGGCACTGATAGCTGCAGGAGCGCGAACGAGAGCTTGAGCTTGAGCGAGAGCGAGAGCGCGAGCGTGAGCGGGTGGGAAGACTCGCAATGAAGCTCGCTGATCAAAGTGTGGCGTCAACCCAAAGCGGACAGTCTGACAGCCATCCCGGGCCGGAAGAGCCGGTCGGTGGCAGGGACGTGTGACTTTGAGGAGGGGGCGAGGGGGGAGGGGCGAGGGGCGAAGGGCGAGAAGAGCCACTTGACTTGCAAGACAGAGAAGGAAGAGACTACCTGGCTACAGTATGCTGGGAGGGGGCGCGTCCGAGTCGTCGCAGCTGCTGCCTGTGGCTGCAGCACGGACGTCTGTGCAGGCGGCGAGCAGCGGGCTGGGCCTCGGCCATGACGACGGTAGCCATGGTGGCGGCGTCGAACACAACCAGTTGGGCACCATCAATGGTGCTTATGTCCCTGTCCTGCTCAACGTCATGGGCGTCATCCTGTTCCTCCGCCTCTCGTGGGGTGTCGGTCAGCTCGGCGTTCTCGGCATGTACGCGTGTGTGTGTGTGCAAGGGGGGGGGGGGGGG